TGAAGCTGAATCCCACATAGTTGATCATGGTTCGAGTCCCAGCCCTGGCAACTTGAAAAACATGCCAAGCGTGTGTGCTTGCATGCATGGTCAAAATCATGATAGAATGGAGAAATGAAGGAGAAAAGACTATAGCATGACCAAGTTCCACTGGGGGGGTCTACTTTCTTCCTTTCCCTCTTTTGATCTGTCTCTCTCTGGCAAGTGCTCATGCCCTCTGACAATTAAAAAAGAAAAGGAAGGAAAAAATTAAACAAGTTGATGGAAAGAAAGTATTCTGAAGACTTATTTAGATTGAATCAGGCAATCACATCAAGGAGGTGAAATTCATGCTAAGAACCCAATAACAAGGAGCTACGAGGGAAAGAACACTGCAGGCTTAAAGGGAAAGATTCAGAGATGGACCTGTGTCTGCCTTTTTCCAGGAGCAGAGAAGTCAGTGAGGTAAAATGCATGAGCGGGAAAGCAATACAAAGTATTTTTGAAGACATGAAGCTTCAGATGCTATTAGAAAACCAAAAGAAGGGACCCAATAGGCAAGTACTGCTCAGACTTAATATACATAGGAATCATAGAAAGATCTTATTCAAATACAGACTGCAATGCAACAGATCTGGGGTGGAGTCCAGAATTCTGCATTTTTCCAAAGATCCCAGGGGAGGTCCACTCTCCTGGCCTGCATCATATGTTGAGTAGTGAGGATGAAGTCAATCATGTATTTATCAGTCTGTAAACATAAAGAAGGAGGTCAAAAAATAAAAGAAGTAGAGAGGGAAGAACCAGGAAATAATAGGACACAGGAGCAAAGCAGTATCACAGCAACCCCCAAATATTTCAAGTAGGTGGGAATGTGTCAAAGGCTAAATGGTGAGATGAGATAAGTGGACTTGGTTTTAGCACATGGCCACTGAGAACTTTCAGTAGAATAAGCTGACTTCTAATGCACCCTAGGAATATTATTACCCATTCTCTAGAGGGTGTGTCCTAACTTCCCCTATTTTTGCAAGTCCTCACTCAAATCTATTTATAATGCCTGAAGACCTCACTTCCTACCATCCTGAATAATGAGAGAGAGAGGCCCATTAGCCAGATCAACTACTTCCATCTTGAAACCCTTCAAATTCCAAGTGTTTCCTATTTCTATCTTTTCCTCCTCTCTCAGAGTAATTAGATATAGGATCTTCTCTTGGAGTTAAATTACCTGCCTTCATTTCCTCTATCCTTTGTCACCACAGAACATGTTTCCATGAGATTTTCCCCTGATCTTTAAAATGCTACCCAATGATTTTATTTAATCTACCCAAGTGTTTTATTTCCATATTAACAAGTGTAGGGAAGGAGTATGAGATGATATTCTGCCCAATGAAACATGAGAAGTGGTTTGGGATGGGGGTACAGGGACACTCTTCATCCACTGAAAAAGACACTCGAGAAGAAAAGGGCCTCTGCAGCAGCTGAGCACTGTACGGAAAGTGAGGCCTGCAGATGCTGCGAGTCTTGTGACTATTGGGAGCAGTGGCCTGAAGCTGAGCCAATACCTGGAGACTGAAAAAACAAGAAAATGGAAACTATTTACTTTTAACATGATTGAGCCATTGAGTCAAACTGGTAGAGAAGCAGTATTTCTGATATATTTGTCACATGAGATAATTTTTGTTACTAAGCCTATTGAGTTTTCTGTTACCTGCAGTTAAAATGATCCAAACTGGGACCAGCAGGTGGCATAATGTTTACTTCCCACACAGACTATTGTGGCTTGAGTCCTGGACCTAGCTACTTGAAACTCACACCAGGTGTATGTGCAGGTGTGCCTAGGACCTCGAGAGAATGGAGGAGAGGGGATTGTGGTATAGCCATTCCCCATGGGGGGTGATTTCTTGCTTTCTGTCTCTGTCTTTCCAGTGAGTGTACATGCCCTATAGCAAAAAATCTCTCTCTAAAATAAATTAAACTTACAAAAAATAAAACGGTCTAAACTGACACACTGTGTCATAGCAGAATTTATTCCCCATCTAGATCCATTTAAGGGAAAGAAACATGACTTTTCAGACTGCCCATCTATTTCTTTTTCTGTTTCTTTTCACCTTTCTTTTTTCCCTCCATTTTTGTATCCCTCCTCCCTGCTTCAATTGCTCAATCCCTTCTTTCCTATCTCTATATTCCAAAACTCCAAAACTATTTTTCTTAACTTCTAGTCCTGCCTCATTCAATGACAAAACTTACATTTTTTGCTCCACAAAAACAACATGATCACTGGTATTTATAGCAATTCTTCACTTGTCTATTATTATTATTATTATTATTATTATTATTATTATTATTATTGCAAGAGGGTGTGTGGATTCATCATAGAGAGACTAAAAGTGAGAAAACACCCTTGATGGGGAATGGTCACGCTGCAGTCCCTTCTCATTCATATATCTCTCCTTTAGGGATTCCGGGCACACACATGCACACACATGCACACACGCACACACATGCACACACACACACACCTGGCATATGTCTCAAGCTACTGGGTCCAGGACTCCAACCGTATAGTCAGCCATGTGGGATACAGCTGGACACTTTAACCAGTACACCATGGGTAGGCCAGCCTATTATTTAATTCAGATTTCTGACTATTTCTCTGCCCTAAGTTTTACCATTTCTTTACATTTATGAAAGGAATAATATCTGTGGCTTATTTTTTCAAAGCCAGATAATCCTGTGACTCTCATGTTTGGAGTCAATTATTTAGGAGATAGAGGATATACCTATAAAGAAATGAATAGCCATTAAGTGCAGCTAAAGAGGAATTTATTACATGATAGAGATATCAGAATTAAGATCATAAAAGACATTCTGGATTTTCCCAGAAGTTATAGGAAGCTCCTATTTACTTGTTTTCTGAATTTTATGAATCTAGAATTTAGAAAATGTCTAGTTTTCAGAGAACTTTATCTGAAAGTCTTATCTCTAATAGATCATCAACATATGCATATGGTAAAATACATTACAGGTTCCTGAGTAAAGAAAGGATGCTTTCCTTGACCAATGGGCAGATGTTACAAAAATTTTTTTGATTTGCATTTCAGTAAAAGTGTAATTGCTTTGTCATTTCTAAGACCTTCCACCAGTGCCAACTCTGATGTCAATTTATGTGTGCATGGGTCCTACAGTGATTCTGTCAGGACCAGATTTCCTGGTTAGTTGAAAGATAGCTTTGGGAGGGGATCCTGCCTATGGATGTCAGATAGCTTTATGTGATTTTACGATTTTTCTCTCTCCAAACCAAAAAAGAAATATCTCTTTGGCCTAGCAAAAGTAGTTTAAGAGTGTTAGGTAAGAAAACAATACCAAATATCTAAAACACAAGCTTTCTTGTGGTAGATGCAATTATAGAGAATCAAAATATTCATGGATGAATTGGAAGACCATTTGGGTATTATGCAACCAAGTGTTAGATCATATCAGGGTTTCTGATCACTTATTCTGCCCTTTGAAGAGTCCATGGTTTTCATTTCAGAATAGCAACATCTTCTCCTTATTTGTATTTATAAGTAGTTTGCATCAAGATATGCTATTCCAAATATCTTAAACTAAGGAATACATAGTTCTATAAGAGACAGCAAGTCAGGCTTCTCAGAAAATGGAGTACACATCTCATAGTGCTCACTTAGTCTGACTGGCCTCTGACTACTGCAGTAACACCAGTATATGGAGTGTGTACCTCAGGAGGAGAGATGCACAGAGAAGGTGTGACTAAGGCAGATCCATAACCAGCTGCGATTCTGTCTGTTCTCCGTAATTTGTACATCCCCAGCACTAACCCAAATGGAGAATTGCTTTCAGACTCTGGAAGGCAAGTGTGCTGTTATAGTTCCTGCTCCAAAACTGTACCATAAGTTGGTAAGTTGGCCTTTGATATGGAAGCTTAGTTTGGTCTTGTCCGTTACCAATATATTAGACTGTCAGAAAGTCATGGACATATTTTTCTATGCAAAAACGCTTTATTATTTTCCCAGCAACCCAATATTTCTCCTGTGATTCTTTTCTTACTAAATAGCTTTAAAGATAGCTTAGTTTTAATGAGTATTTCTTATTTTCTTAAATTTCTTCTTATTTCAGTGGTTTTAATGAATATGCTTAGAAAGTCCACAATACTCAATTTCATATTTCAATTTATAATCAAATTTATTCAAAGATAAATCCACCCAGTATTATTAGAGAAGTCTATGTAAATAATAAAACTGATACTACAGACTCACATGTAATAATACTGTCCCCAAATAATTTTCATAGGTAACAGAAATGTTTTTCTTGACACAGTCCTCCTGCTACTCTCCTCAATCTCTGAAATAGTAATTTCTGCTATTTCTGGAAATGCTTGCTAGTATTAATACAAAGGACAAAATTTTACTTCAGTTTTGAAAATAACATTACAAAAGTCAACCCAAAGAAATGATGTGATGCAAAGTACCCTGAATTGCTGAAAAAAAAAAAAAACTAGCTTATTTCATGGATTAGAAACCATCTTGATATTCTTATAATCACAATAATATTTCCTCAGGCAATCGGGAAGTGATCTGAAAATTATGAAAGAAGGGAACCAGCAGTTAGCGTAATGGCTATGTCGCTGGACTCCCACGTAGTCGACCGCGGTTCGTGTCCTGGACCCGGTGGCTTAAAACTCACGCCGGGCGCGTGTGCGTGCGTGCCCAAGATCCCGAGAGGAGAATGGAGGAGAAGGGATTGCGGCGTGACCATCCCCCCTGGGGGGTGATTTCTCGCTTTCTGTCTCTATGTCTCTCTCTGTCTGTCTGGTGAGCGCACGCGCCCTACAGTGAAAATCTCTCCAAAAAAAAAAATTATGAAAGAAGATTACAGTACACATACCAATCTATTCTCATCACTGCATTTTAGACATCAGGACAAAAATCATACCTTATAATTTCTCCAAAGTTGAATAACACCGTCCTGGTTTTTACCATAACTGTTGAAAGGTAGAGTGTGGTAAACTAGATGCAAGTAACAAACATGGGAGGTCGGAGTATGTTTCCAGGACATGGCGTCTTGCCATTGACCACAGCCTCTTGGAACAAGATAAAGTCATTGAAATAGTTAACAGATGTAGCCATATTTAAAATATAAAAGTTCTATTGCTAAAAATTATGTAGGGTCAGATGGAGATTTGGCTCTTGGTCCATAACTTAACTGACTTGGCAAATGGAAAGTTGAGATCCAGAGGCATAATGCATAATATTGAGGCCACACACCCTGCATACTCTGTGGGAGCTCATAAACTACTGACAATATGCACACTGTGCTAAGCCAGCTCAATTAAGCAGTAACACAGTATTTGATACTTAGGGAAATCTGAAGTCAATTTTCACATCCTCTAAATTAAAAAGTTAGTTCTATGAGAGCAAAAGAGTAGACTTTTTTCCAATCGAAAAGGATGTCTACATGTTTTTATAGTCTCAACTTGAAATTTACCTGATGACTGCTATTCCTTTCTGTTCACTTCATAATCTATCCAGTTACAATCTTTTCAACAGTATCTTTTCCTCCTCACTGTTGTCTATTATTTTACATATTAACACAAGGTGACATTAATAATTCTCAGATGAATATTTGTAGCTGACATTGATCTTCTCAACCATAAGCCATAAATCTATTCAAGTCAAACATTGAAGGAGGCTTGTGCTACTTTAGAGTTTGTGGTTTTATTCACAGCTTTGCAAATAAAGTCACCAGCTTCCATCACTTTGTAAAGATTCACACCCTGGTCAGAAAAGAAGGGACACAAAGAGAGAAAAGGGATTAGAAAGAAAGAAAAAAAGACAAAACATCTTATTTTATTAGTAGCTACTTAACAATTTAAAATGACTAAACAAGGTGTGCTCATAATTGATTTAAGAGTAACTTTTTTTTTTGAGTCAAGTAGATAGTATTTTACATTTTTCGACTTGAATAAAGCACATCATGAATCTTGCCCCTGTGTATTATAATAATATAGGTAGACTAGACACAACTGAATAACTCAATTTAATTCAGGCTGGTAACTAAAGTCTAGAAAGGACAATAATAGAGCTAGAAAATCATGCAGACATAATCAAAATTATGATCTGAAAGAGTTTATAGATAAGAACTGACTTAGGAAAAAAAAATACCCTCTTCACCATATGAAGAAACAAAAATGATAAAGCCACCAGGATTACAGGAAAGGTGAATGCATATATGCATATTTTACCATATTCAGAAACACTATTACTTGTATATTAAAGTAGGTAGTTGTAAGTCAAATAAAATAAAGTGGTATTTAGTACACATCTGGAACTTGTTTGCCTGAGAGGCTGTACTTTCTGAAAGTATAAATAGGATCAACAAAGGCTTAGGTAAATCCATGGATGACAGATACACAGTTGGGTATGAAGGCCAAGTTCGGGGCATGCTCCTCACCCGTTGGCCTTGATATAACAAAAGGTCGCCATCGGGGTCTCCACCCAGCACTTCTGCTGTCACAAGGGGGAGGCAGAGCATTAGGTGGATTAACCACAGTCCTGCCCTTATGCAGCATTTCATAAGTACCTATGTCCTCCCTCAACATGGACTAGAAACGACGTGGACTTAAAAATGAACATGCTCAGTCTTCCTTGCTATTAAGAAGTAGTTTTTAATATTTATGGAAATCTGTCTTATTTTTAATTAAAATAGACAAGTACAAATATCCATGGGGCTTTGATAGCTATGATCATTTCAGAAGTAGGAGACTTTTTTATACATTTTTATATACCTAATTACTTTTCCCTAGAAATGTTAAAGGACTGTTTTCTTTGTAGTTTACTTCTCTAAGAATTATCAAGAAAAATATTTTGTGGGGCCAGCAAATGGCATGGTGGTTAAGAGCACTGGACTCCCACATGGTCGACCGTAGTTCAAGTCCTGGACCTCGTGGCTTGCTTTCTCACTTTCCCTCCCTTTCTCTCTTTCTCTCTCTCGTTCTGTACATCTCTGGTCAAATTAAAATAAATAAATAGTCAAATAAAATGTCTTTTAAAAAAAGAAAAATATTTTATAAAACGAGACGTGTACATGATTTCCTTTTTTTTTTTTTAAATTATAAAGTTGTTTCAGAGTACTAACATTTGCTCTGGTTTGAAAAATTTCATTTTATCCCGTAACACCTTTAGAAGTAACTATTAGGCACATTTTACTTTAACATCCTTAAGCCAATGATAATTAAACTTTGTAAATAATCAGCTTCATGTGTCTTTCACTTCTGAATTACATTCAGCAAGGATTCCTAGGGAAATTTTAGTCATTAACGGTCTTCTATTTCAACAATACCATTTAATTATGCAACATAATTAATGAATATTGGACCAAAGAGGAATTATGTTTTGACCTTTCTCTACCACTTTATTTAATTAACAGATGCCATTATGAAATAACACTGCACATATATGTATGTCATTTTAAAGTTGCTTAAATATGCATCATGTACTTTTGATAAATTCCTGAGTTTCAAGAATTTCACATAGAATGCTGTTTCTGTCTCCAGGGAGATTATAATAAAGCAAGCAATATGGACCCTTAACAGTAAATTTCTTACTATAATTAAATACATTAATAGAAATATGACCAGGTGATTATGTAGGGAGAGGTGTAGAGCAACTTATCCACTGAGAAAAAAGCATAAAAATGTGTAAGGGGAGGGTATCAGGAAGCGTAAATTCTGACTTTTGTCTTATGAAAGGTCTCTAAAAGGTTCATTAAAGGGACCAGCAGTTAGCATAATGGCTGTGTTGCTGGACTCCCATGTAGTCGACCGTGGTTCGAGTCCCAGACCCGGTGGCTTAAACTCACGCCGGGTACATGTGCATGAGTGCCCAAGATCCCGAGAGGACGATGGAGGAGAAGGGATTGCAGGGTGGCCATCCCCCATGAGGGATGATTTCTTGTTTTCTGTCTCTCTGTCTCTCTGTCTCTCTCTGTCTTTCTGGTGAGCACATGTGTCCTATAGCAAAAACCTCTCCAAAAAAATAATAATAATAAAAAAATAAAGGTTCATTAAAAATTAAAAATGTGTATTATGAAAAAACTATGTATAGATTTTAAAACTCTTTACACCAAAATAGACTCATACTTTAATTCCATATTTCCATAGACTTTGTAGTTACCTCATATACTGAAAGCATGTGTCATAGACAGGAAGGAGAATACGTGGTGTATTGTTAGCAGAAAGGCGAAAAGTACAATTAATTGAAAAATAGCATGGTGTATGTGGAGAATGATGGGCAAAAAAATCATGGAAGATAAGGAAAAAAGGCAAAAGATACCTTTTATACTGACAAATGTAAAAGTAGGCCAGATTATATGACAAAACACAGCCTTGCTTTTCTGGAAGTGAGAATCTATTGATGAGTGCTCATGTGGAAGCATGATACATTCATGTTTGCATTTTACATGAAATTCTATAATAGTAGCGTGGAGGATGAATTCAGTGCCAAGTCTGGGGCCAGCTGAGTAGTGTGGAGAATGAAGATCCAGAAAAGAGATAAGGGGCTACACTGATTTAGTCAGAGAAGAATAGTAAGGATGGGACCAATAACAAGTATTTTTGTAGTCAAATTAGTCATTCTTTGTCAATTTAATTGGACCTAGGATCCACAGTGATATTTTATTCTACAAAGAATCTTGGTAGGGTAACTTGTTGAATTGTGGCAGCAATCCAATAGCAATCCTCCTGGAATTGTGAAATTCTTAGGAATAGATGATTATTTGCATTTGGACTGCAGAATTATAGAACATGACCTGATACTTATTTAGCACCAGCTGTCCGTCGTTGCTTTAGTTAACTGCAATTCAGTCATATAAATCTCCAAGAAAGGAGTGATTTCTCTTCAGTTTCTATTATGGTCTTCTGATAAAAAATAAGCTAGTTGGTAAATGAAGTAATATTTATTCCTAACAAAAGAAGGTAGGTAATAGCTTTGGGTCTTGGTAGGCAACAGCTGTTGGTGTTTAGTGCCAACTAAATTCAGTCGTTCCATAAATAAATATCGAGTATCTTTATGCCACAAGCACTGCATATGAATAAGCTGTAATTGCTTTCTCTCTGTGCAGGAAGCTGGACACATAAACATGATCACAGTACGACTACATGATAAGTTCACAGGTAAAGTAACAGAGGGCAGCATGGAAGCAGTAAGGAGAGGAACCAAATGGTTTGGCCTGGAAGACAGGCAAGGAAACGATAGAGGAGACTTTTTCAGGATGCGGTACCTCACGTTCCAGGTAAAAAGCTATACTATATGGGGTATAAGGTCATGCCATATGGTGGTAAGAGCATGAGCCAGGGGTGGAGGTGAGGAATAGAATGGTGCAGAAATGGGGACAATAAGCAAGTCTGGTACTGCAGAAACATCAATGTAAGTGGTGTGAGCCGAGAGGAGAGGCAGGAATAGCATTAACAGAAAGAGAAAGTCAACTTTTAATTCAGATGATGCTTTTCCATCTCAGAAAACATTCTGAATGTTTAATCATCTGTGGGTAATTTCCTTGCCTTTTCTATTTTGCCCCTAAGTAAACGAATCTGCCCTAACGGACTAACAAATTATGTTAATAGTATGTGGCAAAACAAGGCGCTGAGTTGGGTGGATATTATATGCTGTGACTTCTCAGGTACCACCTGTAAAGAGACTATTGTTGCCATCCAGTGTCCCATATGCTGAGTATTACTAAACTTTGGTCGGCCACTGACCATTTTAAAAGTGCCCTGGGCTCTTTGCCAGAAGCCCTAGATGTCACTCTGAGACCATCGAGATATGAGTTTCTTCCCCAAAAGGAAAAAAGATCTGAGTTTCCTCCAAGGAAAACACCCTACAAAAAAATAAAACTGAAAACTCAACAATCATAATAGCAAAAACATAGGCTCTAACTCACCAAGTGTGTGAAATCAAATCAGATAATACATGAAAAAGTGCATTTGAGGTCAGGAAGCACTATAAAAATGTGAAATGGTAGCACTACTGGTGATTGAGCTACAGCAATAAGTTATTTTATAAAGCCCTTGGAAGAATTTTTATTGTGTTTTCCCAGTGTGCACTTTAGCAAACAGCAAAAGTGTAATAAAACTTTGACCTCAAATTGCTTCTCAAATCTGAGAAGCATTCCACCTTGAAACTGCAAGGAATGCATGAATTTTAAAATATGTTAAAGTAACTTACTGTATTGAGCCCCAGGCCATTAAGCATATATATCAAATCCTCAGTGGCTACATTCCCAGAAGCACCTTTTGCATAAGGGCAACCACCTAATCCGGATACCGCTGAGTCCACCACGTTAATTCCCATCTGGAAAACAAACCAAAACACCTAAGGCTTGTGTACTTATAGCATGTAAAGTGTTGCATTTCTGTCTAACCTGTGACAAAAAGCAAATAAGCAAAATCTGAACTTGTTATTCAAATGTATGATTCCTTTCCCACCTTCTGTAAAAACAATCCCCAGAATGCTAATTTCTGTCCTGACTGATTTTGTCTCAGGCTAATAGAAACTGTGCTATGGATCTCTGGAAGTAACATCTACGGTAATAGCCAAATTAAAATGGTGTTATTCATTGGTAACAGCACAGTAGTAGGTGGTGGAACTTAAAGTAAGGTTAACTCACTCCCATGTTTTATATATGCTCCAATTCTCTATCTTGATCCTAAAAGCATTACATAAACAACGTAAAATATTTCTAACAACCCAACTTGAAATCAAGGTACCTTAGAAGACTGATGTGTGAGGCTGGGAGGTTGGGGAAGGGAGTCACTATACTTAAAATAGGATTTTTGTGGGTTCAATTTACCAACTCTTTATTGAGTCATTATTGTGCACCTGAAGTTCCGCCTTTGGGAGTAATGAAGAGATATTTAAGACACAAGACACGTATCACAAATAATAGTACTTACACTTACTGGATCCTTGCTAAGTGTCAGATACTGTTTCAGTAGCTGTTTTTGTTGTTGTTTTGGTGGTGGTGGGTGTTTGTTTGTTATTTAGAGAGAGGGGGGAAAGTTGAGAAATCACCTCCCAGAGGGGATAGCCATATTGTAATCCTGTCTTCTCTAGTCTCCTCTTGGGATTTTGGGCACACATGCAGTGCCTAGTATGATTTTCAAGCCACTGGTCCAAGACTAGAACCATGAAGTAAGCCATGTGGGTAACTCACAATTCTCACAAAAACCTATAAAATAGATACTTTTCTATCATCTCCAAATCACAGAGGGAGGAGGAGACTCCGATACAGAGGAAACAAATGATTTGTCCAAGGCCACCATCAGGTAAGAGCAATCTCTGTCTTCAAATAATTGAAAGTCTGCCTTTATTTGCAGCCTTTGGAAACATGCAGGTTGGTACATACATATGGGCTTGGAACAAATCTGTGTGCTGAAGTTGTGGAAGGCATAAGCACAGAGACCCAGGAAGGGCCTTAGAGACCAGATGTGAATAGTCAGAGAAGAAAAGAGATAGGCACATATCATTCCTCTGTGAAAGGTGACAATTTGGTAGTCAGAAGCTACAAGGAGGCCTAATCCGATTCTTTGCTCTTGAGCATTGAAGGAAAAGTAACATGACCTCATCTAAAATGAGAAGCACCTGGAAGCAGAGCTCTTGGCCCATCAGCTAGATTTGTGGTTCTCAATCCGAGTCAGGATCACAGATTGCTGCTATATCCAGAGTTTCTGATGCAGAAGCTCTGGTGGTACAACCAGAGAATTTGAATTTTAACAAGATCCTGGCTGCTGCTGCCCTGGGAATTACTCTTTTCTTTTTCCCTCTCTCTCTTTCTTTCCTTTTTTTTTTTGATAAACTTTTTCATCTTACAATAGTTTTACATTTTCCAAAAATTTGTAAGGATCGTATAGATTTCTTTTCCTCTATTGTTACCATCTGTTAAAAAATTCAGTGATACTTATTAAACCATGGTAAAGAAGATTTTACTCAGGATCATAGTGATAAGTACAAACTACTACAATAGGGTATTGCAGTGATGGAGAGAGATTAGGCTCAACTCCAAATACAGCATGAGCAAGTGAGAATTTACAACCCATGAACAGGGTTGGGAGTTGCGGGGTATCAGGGGATGAAAAATAACTAAGTAGAAACACCAGGAGTAAGGGGGACTTGGGCAAAACAATGTAATAGGATTTTTGCTTAATACTGGGCCAGGGTGATCAGACATCACCTAGGGAATAGTAGGAGATGAGGAACTTATTCAGATATTGATAACAAAGCGTTCTTGCTAAACTGATTTAGCAGGGATTACCAAAACTGAATTTTGAGAATAAGTGCACAGGTGGGCCTAGGAAAAGGTTCATAAGCCTGACTAAAGTTTGGCCAAGCAAGAATCTTTGTCAAATCTTACATTATTGTATTCGTCAACAACTAATGAATAAATATTAACCTGTTATGAATAACTAAATCCATTCATTATTCAGATTTCTTTAGATGTTTTCGAAGACATTTCTAAAGATATATTAACCTAGTATATTTTTTCTGTTCCAGAAACTCATCAGAATACCTTACTAAATCAGTAGTCGTGTTTCCTTGGACTCCTCCAGACTGACAGACATTTGTAATTTTGAGTAGTACTATCATATATTTGTACAATGTCCTTCTATGTGGTTTGTTTCATGTGTTTTCTCATGGTTAAACTGAAGTTATAAAAGTTTTAGGAATAAGATCACAGAAGTCAAGCATTATTCTTTTTTTTATTTTTTTTTTAACTGCCAGTGGGAATATACTTGCTAGGGAGAGATGGGGAAGGGAGAAAGAGAGAAATAGAAAGAGACAGAGAAAGCAACTCCCAATGGGAAAAGATCATACCACAATCCTTTTCCCTCTGTCTTCCCATCCCATCAGACTTTGAGCATGCATACACACATGGTGGCATGATTTTCAGGCTATTAGAGCCAGTACTTAAATCTCAGCTAGCCCTGTAGGAGCCAGCTCCTGATGCAGAGTGTTAAATTACAGCTTCATGAGGCTGGCCTGAAGTGCCAACTCAAAACATCATATCTACGGTACATACTATCAATATTATTATGACTGCTGATAATAACCTTGGTAAGCTGGCTGAGGTTGTGCTTGCCTAGTATCTGCATTGTAGTGTCTCCCTGCCTTTCCACACTAAACTGTGCAGAAAAAAGTCACCATGTGTAGCAGACACACAGGAATGGAGAATATCTATATAAATTATTTGGAATTCTTTGGTATGGGAGTTTATCTATTCTTATTGATTTATTTCTATCAGTAGAGACTCATATTCATATTTATTGAACTTAGGGTCACAATATAGTATTACTGTACATATTTTATTGCTCAAATTCTTCAAGATTTTGCCATTGAAGCTCTTTCAACTAGCTCCTATGTCCCCTTGGCATGCACTTTTTAAAGCATTATTCTAAAGTTTTCTCTGCAAGACTTAGGAAGATTATTACCTAAGCTCATAGGGAAGAATTACAGTCTAAAAAGCCATGGAATTCTTTGCAGATTTATGAAAGATAGAATATTTGCTTCTTGATTTTACATCTCCATTTTCCCATATTATATTCCTCAACATCAGATCTTCTTAGCTCTCTATTACCTGCAACCTCTCTCAACAACCTAACAAGCTTAATCATATCCAGGTGTTAATAACTACCTTGCTAAACTATTGATACATTTATGACAATTTGCACTTGCTGTGAGTCAAAACAATAAGAATTAGGAATTAAACTGTAGAAATAAAATTTATGGTGTTCTGGGAACCAGCAGTTAGCGTAATGGCTATGTCGCTGGACTCCCACATAGTCGACCGCGGTTTGTGTCCCGGACCCAGTGGCTTAAAACTCGCGCCGGGTGCGTGTGCATGCGTGCCCAAGATCCCGAGAGGAGAATGGAGGAGAAGGGATTGCGGCATGACCATCCCCCCTGGGGGGTGATTTCTCGCTTTCTGTCTCTATGTCTCTCTCTGTCTGTCTGGCGAGCGCACGCGCCCTACAGTGAAAATCTCTCAAAAAAAAAAAAATTATGGTGTTCTATAGTATGGAAAAGGCTCTGGCTCATCTCTTGGAGTCTACCATGCCATCAAATAGACAGGGGCAATTCTTCACTTAGAGGTTTAGGCTGATCTATTGGGGCCAGCAGGTGGTGTGGTGGTTACGATGCTGGATTCCCATAAGGCTGACTATGGTCTGAGTCACAGACCAGGTGGCTTGAGAACTGTGCCAGGTGCATGTGTGTGCATGCCCAAGACTTAGGAGGAGAATGGAGGAGAAGGAATTGCAGCATGGCATTTCCCCCCACCGGTGGGGTGATTTTTCACTTCCCTCTCACTGTCTCTCTCTGGTGCGTGCACATGGCCTATGGCCAAAGAATAATAATAATAATTTATATATATATATATAATAACACTGATCTATTCAGTGGATTTAAATCTATTACACAAGGAGATAAATATTCTGGATCTTGAGGACCAGTAGGTGGCATGGTGATTAAGGTGCTGGACCATTTCCACATGGCCAACCATGGTTCAAGTCCTGGACCTGGTGGCTTGCTTTCTTACTTTCTCTCTCTCTCTCTCTGTCTCTGTGTGTGTGTGTGTGTGTGTGTGTGTGTGTGTATGAGTCTGTCTCTCTATGGTCAAATTAAATAAGTGAATGAATGAATAAAATTAAATAAAGTTTTATAAAAAAATATTTTAGTTCTTGATCCTGTCTATTACTGTCACCTGGAGTCTTTAAAAAATAAAATAATGCCCAAGTTTATTCCCAATCCAATTTAACAGAATTTCTATCTGGGGAAGGGATCAAATATGTGATTAAGTGTGGGAAGTTCTAAGACAGAGATTCTTATTCATCTCACCCTTTCTCAATCCTGAGTATGAGTCAGCATTAACTATAGAGAAGTCTGGGGTAAGCAAAAAGTTAATAATGATTCATCAACATTTTAAGAAAGCCAGATTTTGAAAGAAGACCTTTAAAAAGTATGAGGTAGCATTAGTCAGAAGTAGCAACATGAGAAGTGAGAGATGGCTTAAGCCTACCATGTGGATGATTGTGTCCAGGTCTGGAAACCATAGATAACATTCCTTTCCTCACTATTAAGGAAACAAACAAACAAACAAAAAGCCCCTACAACTACAGAAGTTCAAGAAGGACACATGTTATCTTGTTAAAAGAGCATCAAAAGAACAGTTTTTAGTCTTAATTGGCTTTTGGAAGATAATGAAAAACCAAAAGTCACACTTTATTTTGCACCTAAAGACCAATATGATCTATAGTTTGGTCAAAAGTGAAAGATTTACGTGTTCACAGTAGAACGAC